CAATGATTATCTAAGCCATCCAGTATTGGAGTGAAGTCGCTGTTCGGAAGCTTTAGGCTTATGAAAATTTTACTATATAAATTCCGTTAATTTTTAAGTGGAACGTATTCTTCGTTGCTGTTGAAGTGTATGAAATAGAATTGAACACAGTTTGCTAATACAGAATGTTAAAAGAGTTCTCTTATTACTCTGCAGGCATTTCAAGCTGGAATCACGTGGATAAACTGCTCACAGCCCACCTTCTGTCAAGCCCCTTGGGGAGGAAAGAAACGCAGTGGTTTTGGGCGCGAACTTGGAGAATGGTGGGTCTTGAATATTTATTTCTTGCAAAACCAGTGCCTAAATCATCAAAAAGTTAATTCCAGATTCAACCCCTGTGATACAGTGGTTTGTCACTGATACCAAATTTTTTCCAGAATTCAAATAAAATAGTTTAGAGGGTACAAGTGGCCACACCCTCGCAATACAAAGAGGTGTATCTGCAATTAACCTAATAGTTGATTAATACCCTAATATTAATAAACCGTGATTCATTTTCTGCAGGGGTCTTGATAACTATCTGAGTGTGAAGCAGGTGACTGAGTACACATCGAATGAGCCATGGGGATGGTACCCCTCTCCCAAGCTGTGAACTTCTTTTTCTTCAAGAGGGAGGTAGCTGATTCATCCTGCATTTCCATGAGAAATAGTAAGCAGCATTGCAAGGGTTTTGTTGGAGTTGAGGCCATGCAATAAGATGAACGAGTATTCTAAGAGAAGGGCGCATGATTTGAGTACGTGTTTTAAAATGTGGACTATTGTAGCTTGTAATATCACAAGCAATAATGAGTGGTGGTGCTTGGGCCCATGATTATTGATCATTAAGTAGAACAATGAAGTTTTCGTATGTGCACGATCTGACCACCCTTAGAACTGATATATGGGTATTTAGTACTGCGTATGGCATTGCATGAGGTGTTTTATGCATATGGTATTGCATGCTTTTACCTACTTGCAACTTTGCTCCTAGCGAAGCATATCAGCGCCTTTCTTTCACAAAGCCTGATTTTGTGAAGAGAGCTTTTTTTTTTCTTTTCATGTTTGAAGTATCTTCAGCCTCATGAAGGAGCTGGCTCTATGTCTATGTCTCTATGCCTTTTTATATTACACGTTGTGTTATGTTCAGTGGATTGGTAAGTCAGTAGGATTTTACCTTGAGATCATGCAGCTTTGTAATAGTAAGGGACAAATTTTGAAAGGCAACCCATTTTTAAACTTATTCATCAAAAACAACATATTTGAAATTTATTTGTCAAAAGCGACCCAATTTCAGCTAGTTGTTTTTGGCGAAAAAAATACCAAGTTTTGTTACGTAAAAAACTTCACGAGACTTAAAGTTTGGTTTTTTTTCTGCCAGGCTGAAACTGAGTCGCTTTTGGTAAATAAGTTTCAAATAGGTCGTTTTTTACAATTATTTTTGGAAATGTGTTGCTTTTCAAAACTTATCCAATAGTGGAAAAAAAAACTACTTGATGAAGCTTGGCTGTTCCCAGGGCGTGTGTTTGTCCGAAGAGAACTTTTAGCCCTTGTACGCTCAGGTAAACTGTTTGAGATTCCTGCGGTTTCTGGCAAGTATTTTTTACGTGCAGAACTCTGAAACCGCTGCCTTTGTACCTGTATACTAACGAGTCCAAAGCTGCGGTTGTGACATTATAACGAGCCGCGAGCCGCACCTCAAACGCTTCTTCCTGCGACACATATTCAACACCCTTCGCCTAAACCCAACAAACCAATCCATGGCTTCATAGCCCCACAGCAGCCACGCTCCCCTCCCTTCCCCCTCAAAAACCGCACGCCATCCGTCACTGGCAGGGTCCGGAGGCATTGGCCGCCGCCACGCCCTCCACCTTCGCCTCCCTCGTAGTCCAACCCTTGGTCATCGCCTACGCATCCAACACCGCCGCAGCCTCCCTCGTCGTCTCCTCCATCACCTCCTCCTCCGGATCCTCTGCTGTCGCTGTCCAAGCTAATGTTTCTGATCCGGACGCTGTTAAGTCCGTGTTCGATGCCGCTGAGTCTGCTTTTGGTGGGCCGGCGCATATCCTTGTGAACTGCGCGGGGGTTGTGGTTCCGAAAACTCCGATGCTGTCGCAGACCTCGGTCGAGGAGTGGGACCTGGTGTTCAATGTCAATGCCCGGGGGACGTTCCTCTGCTGTCGCGAAGCGGCCGGTAGGCTCGCCCACGGCGGCAGGTGATGACTGCACGACAAATTAATATCAAAGTTTTTGTTTTTTACGTCAACAACAAATATACCGCAATATTAATATCTAATCCCTGCCAACAGGATCATAAATTTCTCATCGTCGATGAACGTGAAACCCCTGCCAGGCTTCGGGGCCTCAACAGGATCATAAATTTCTCATCGTCGATGAACGTGAAACCCCTGCCAGGCTTCGGGGCCTCAACCGCGGCAAAGGCGGCGGTAGAAACGATGACGAGGTTTCTTGCGAGGGAGCTGAAGGGGACGGGGATCACGGTGAACTGCGTGGCGCCGGGAGCGATAGAGACGGAGATATTCCGGGAGCTGGGGGATGACGATACGGCGTTAAGACGGGCCGTGGAGGAGTGCCCGTTGGGGAGGCTGGGGAGGGCGGCGGATGTGCGGCGGATGTGGCGCCGGTGGTGGGGTTTTTGGTCGGAGATGGTGGTGGGTGGGTTAATGGGCAAGTGATTAGGATTAATGGTGGTTATGCTTAAAAGTCTATGATTATGAGCAAGGGTAAGTTTAAAAGAGAGAGAGAGAGAGGGGTACTAAATAAAGGATTATCCTATTTAGTTCGCTTGTGTGTTACTTTGCTTGTTTAATGAATAAATAGTTCTTAATTGGTATGTTGTTGAAGTGATTGGAGGTCAATGTTAACCGATATTATCTTGAATAATTAATTTTCCTCCCTTTTGTAATCTGAATGTACCTCTAGTTAAACAATCCATAGCTTTTTAAAAGGCAAAGCTAGGACTGATTTAACATTTTCAATTATGATGTTGATTAATGATAATTTGTTGGGAGTGTGAACACGGTCCGAATAGTTTGCGTGTGTACTGTGTGTCTTGATTCACACAAAACGAAATAGACAGCAAGATTGAGGATTTTCGTTATCTCCTCGTATGGATTTGAATAGACTATTCACATGTAGATTGTTCTTATAGGATTCGTAATCTATAAACAAAGTATCGCATCAAGAACTTTGTGATTGTATATGGATGGCTCCTAAACTGTTATCTTGATCTGGTTCCATTGCCTAAACTTACAGGACAGAGAATTGCTGTACATCGTGTGATTGAAAACATACGAGCTAGTCAACAAGAACTTGCTAGTTGAGTTCTTCCAAGACAACGTCATAATTGTTATGTTGTCAGTGTTCTCTGTGATCATAACATTGGTGTGGGGCTTCATAGTCATTGCTCTCGCTATTGAATTCTTCTTTGGATCGAGTTAGATCAATGTCATTGGCGACCACAAATGCGACTTCGAACTCGTATCATGTTCAAATGCTCTATTGCGGACACAAGTCGGTCTATAGTAGTCATATTTTGATTAACGTCGGTTTTCAACTCATCGAACTTAGTTCAAAAATAGTGGCTTCCTCTACCATCAAATTGGAGAAATAGGCCTTTGATACCAATTAACGCAACAAGTACGAAACTTAGAATCCACCAAAGAGCGTTCTTTGAATCCAACAAAGAGCGTTCTTCGAATCTATAAAGAGAAAACCTCAAATCCACGATATAATATAAAAGAGAAGTTTATTGAAGATAAGTTTTGTCTCTGGGGCTTACAATCATCTGCTTATATAGAAAATAAACTAGACTCCTACTAGGACCTGAATATTAACAAAAATAAAAATAACAAAACTATCCTTAAAAGACTCCCTACAATTGAGGAAATAAATTGGTCAAATTTGAAATTAAACTGTATTTGTTTTCTAATCAACACAGACACCCAAAACATTACCTAAAATAGTAAAAACGAATAAAATGTCTGATATCTCTCAATTCAGAGGGAATTTCATGAAGCAGACAGTGAGAAATAGAACAACTACTGGTTTGTTTGGCATTGTCTCAAAAAATACGTGATTTTCATACATTACTCGTCAAATACGCATTGTTTGAGAAAATATGACTCATTCTTCTTTGCAAGTCAATTTCTTTTGGTGGGTACGCCTCTTGGACTTCTGAAGATCCGGTTTCTCCATAAATGCATTCACAATGTGCTCTACATCAAAACTTTCCATACAGTTGTTTAGCCAACGAAAACAAGTTTGAAAATTTTTAGATTTTCAAAGAACTTTGGATTTATAAGAGATCCAAAATCTAAAGGTTAAATATCGGGAAACCTCTCTTAACTTTGGACGATTATTAGATAATCTCACATAACTTCTAAAATATCAGAAAACTCCCTTTAAGTTAGACGTTATCAGAAAATCATTTTTAAATTTTTTTTACTTTAGAGAAAGTATCTTTAAAAGTACGAGTTCGAAAAAATCTTTCCGTGGTTAATATTACCCTTAATTTTGAAAGTTATGGGAGGTTATCTGATCATCATCAAAAGTTAAAGGGTTTTTTCTCGTATTTACCCTTCCAAAGACCATTTGTAAGACGATCACATAATAAGAGGTGTTTTCTGAAAATTGTCCTAACTTATGGCGCGCAAAGAACGGCCGGGGGATCCTCCACCATATCACGTGATCCCCCACGGGTCAAACTCCTCGGAATCTACACCCAGCCCCACCCAATTTACGAAAATACCCTCACGGAACAGGCAACGCTCGGTCGGCAGCACGCCGTACCCATTTCCGTCTTTCACCCATCCGCGCGCGTTCTCGCGCAATTTGAAAACCCCCAACCGCCGCGGCCAGGGGCAAAATCGGAAACCGAAGCTAAAGTTTTTTTTTTTGAAATTTTATTCTCAAATTGCCCTCGCCCGCCACCGTCCCCTCTTAATTAAAACCCTCAGCTTTTTTTTCCCCCACTCCTTCAATTCTTCAAAATCGAAAAGAGCAGAATTAGGGCAGGAAAATGTCGTCGTCCTCTTCGACCTTCTTCGAATGCGAAGCCCCGTCGCATCACTCCTACAGCAGGAAGCAGAAATCTCTCGGCCTCTTGTGTTCTAAGTAAGGGAAATCTTCCTCTTGTCCAATTTCCATTTTGACCCGTAAATTTGTGATTTTTATGTAGTTTTCGAAAAAACTGTGCAGTTTTGTGAGTCTCTACGAAGGCAAGGAGGTGGAATCGGTGTGTTTGGATGACGCCGCGAGGAGGTTGGGGGTGGAGAGGCGGCGGATCTATGATATCGTCAATGTATTGGAGAGTGTTGGGGTAAGAATAATTATTTATTTTTTTGGATTTTTTTTTCTAAATCCATATTTTACCCTGAATTGTTTTTAAAACCCTCACACTGCTAAAATCATTCACACCCAAAACATCCAAGCTGCTTTAATTTTTAATTCAGATTTGGTAGGTGCTACAATTCAATCTAGGCTGCTTTAGTGTTTGTTAATCTTCGGCGATTTTGGAAGTTTCGATGTCTTGGAGAGTGAGGTGAGATCTTGCTTCCCTCTCAAAAACTTGGGGGGCTTGGTTATTTTTTGGTTTTTTATTTTATTTTAGACCTATTCTTACCATGAAGGGCCTGAATTATTTTTCAACTCACCCACTTCCAAATCCAAAACTTCTAACCTGCTTTATTTTTAAATTCGGATTTGGTATTTGACCCCTCTATTATATCAATTTAACTAATATTTTAGCAGTCAAATTATAGAAGTTTTCCGTATGATATAGCAGATTAACACATAATTTCGGGTTTAAGCATAAAGGTGTATGAATAATTTGAAAGTGTGTGGGTTTAAAAATAAATTAGGGTGCAAGAATGAACTTAGATCCAATCATTTTCTTCTTGGAAAAGATTTATGTTCTTTGGTGGGTATTCTTTAGATTTTAGCGAGGAAGGCAAAGAATAAGTACTCATGGATAGGGTTTTCTGGGATCCCTATGGCCTTGGAGATGCTCAAGGTATACTTTCCCTTTTAAAGTTTGCGCCTTTTTTTCTATTTTGTTCTACTCATAGATTTTTTTTTTAAAATCTTAAATTAGGAAGAGGCATTGATAAGTGGATGTTCTGGGTATGCAATAGAAGCAAGATCTTCAAAAATTGAAGTTGGTTTTGTTGCACAATGACTTCTCTTTTTTTTTATTGTGGGTCTTAATTTGTTTCATTTATTAATCTAGACCTTTGATTTTGAATTTCGAAAAGGATTTGGAGGATGATGGAGATGACAAGTCTTTAGATCAGAATGGAGATAATGGAGTGGAGAAACCAAATTCGTCTAAGGGAAAATCTGGTAATGATTAAATAGCCAAATTTTGTTATTGTTCAGTTTCTTTTAAATAATGAAAGTTATACGCCGTAGTCATACTTACTGAATTGTGTTGTGTGCAGTTAATGATAATAGGAGGGAGAAATCACTTGGTGTACTCACTGAGAATTTTGTAAAGATGTTCCTAATTTCAGATGTAAGCAATTGCAGTCTTTATAGTGATATACTTGATTGTTTCTTTTTTGGCTATAAATCTACAATATAAAATAAATATGACTATTGGGATGAGTATCATTACTTCATTAGTGTACTTGCTGGAATTGCTTTGTGTGTAGATTTTCTATCCATCTGCTCTGATAGATTGTTATACATACATCGCGTAGGCACCAATTGCAGTTAAAGAATTTGAAACTCTCAGTATCTTGGTGCTATTTTGCAAAATTGAATATTGATCCTTCACCAGCAATTTTTTTTTTATATTATAGGTTGACACAGTTTTACTTGATGAAGCAGCAAAATTATTGCTTGGTGATGTACATAACCCTTCCCAACCAAAAAGTATAACCTCAATCTTCACCCTTTTCAATCTCTTTCCTTGGACATCACTGGTTTAGTTTATTTTCCTCTCTTTTTCTTAAAACTCAAACCAACATATTTCTTTTTTTTTTAAGGCAATAGTGCAGCCAAAGTACGCAGACTCTATGATATAGCAAACGTTCTCTCTTCACTCAACCTCATTGAGAAGGTATGTTTTTGAAAACTAATACATTTTGCAATGTGAAAAGATGAAGTAAAACGTTAAAAAAAAAGAGAGAAATTTTCTCAGGTTCTCTTTGTTTTGGTCATTTTATCTGTTTTGTTAGACACACCATATCGAGACAAGGAAGCCAGCATTCCGGTGGCTGGGACTAAAGAGGAAGCCAAGTGCTGTTACAGTTTCTCTACAACCCAGTTCAATGGCAAGTTGTAAGAGAGCTTTTGGAGCTGATATCACCAATGTGGAATTGACGAAAAGGAGCAAATCAATCTCTTTAGCTGAGAAGAAGCCTGTCAGAGTGTACAGTGATGGCATGAAAGAATACAATGTCTCAGCTCAGAAACAATTCCAGACCTCTAAAGGGTATGTTTTTGGACCTTTCTCTCCTTCTGCAATGTCAAAGAGAGATGAACAAAATGAGGAGAAGCAAAGTAAAAATGTTCAGAATTGGGAGACTATGGCATCTTCCTTCCGCCCTACATATCAAAACCCAGGTTTTTCCTTGCCTCAACTATTTTCATATGACTTGTGCATTATTGCTTGTCTTTGTTGCGCGCCGTACGGAAGCGTGTTTGATAACCAAACGAGTCCGCGAGCCACTGGAGAAGATTAACTAACCAAACTCGAGCACAATCCAAACAAATACGACAAACCAATCGCAAACACAGAGATATACGTGGTTCGGCAATTTGCCTACGTCTACAGGGAGAGGATAGGGAGATTTCACTATTTCGAGGAGAGTACAAAAGGGTTACAACCACTCAAACACTCGAACAAACCCTAACCAATAATCTCTCAACTTGCTCACAAGTTCTCCCTCCTAAAGTGCTCAGAATACTCTCTATTCTCTGATGATCAAACCCTAAAATCGTGTTTTAATATATATAAAAACACAAACCAAATCAGAACAGGAAATAAAGCTCAGGCCCAAACCCGACTGGCGTTCCACCGTACTTGACGTCGCGGTCGACCGGACAGAACGTCCAAAACACAATAAACCAATTACAGGGTCTGCGGTCGACCGCCGAAGTCTTCGCGGTCGACCGGACAGAAATCCAAAAACTCCTTAAGGTTGTGCACATTTCCGGTCGACCGTCCCAAAGCTCACGGTCGATCGGACAGAACCAAAAACTGCCCGACTATATTTTCCTGAATATTGCTGTTTTATCTTCAGTCTTTTGTTGAAAGCTTTCATTCTGCTGACATTTGTGCTGGTTACATATTATTGGCAATATTATATTTCTTTATAAATATTCCTACAAAACAAAATGGTTTATATATGCTCATAAGGAAATGCCAACTGTCACGCCCAAGGCCCGCAAGTTCGTTGGCACGATGTAAGCCGTGGGATCCATAGAGTGCAACACATAATTTAGCTTAATCCACTATTAAAATTGACTAATTAATGTTAGACTTGTCTGCTTAAACTTATATTATAAACCATTCGATCACTCAATCAATATCCGATATGAGACTACATCTTGAGGTACTACAATCACTCTACCTTAATTATGCGACATCCTCATCGCAACATGATAATTGGTCAGTCCCAGTATCACCACTAGGCTATGTGAACTCTAAAGGTGTCTCTTATAGGCTTCTAGAGGTGGCTCCCACCGCACTCATGCAGTGCAACACTTAGTTCCGCATAGTATTTAGCTCTCCATTTCTAGCTGGCTAATTGCTCTAATACCATTTGTCACAATTCGGGCCCACGAGCCCATTGGCGCGATGTATGCCTTGGGACCTACAAAGTGCAACATATAGTTTGGTTCAATCCACTGCCAAAATTGACATCCATATCTTTAGTCATTAGAGTTAAATAGCTAAGCACAGGTTTCAAGTGTAGCATTGGCTGCTCGATTGTGACAATGATTTAAACCAAACAATACACTACACTCAAGTGGGTCTCATGGCTTAGTACACACCAATGGGCTCGTGGGCCTAGGGCATGACAAATAGTATCAGAGCAGTTAGCTAACCAGAATTGTGGAACTACGTGCTATATGAGGCTAAGTTCAGTGGTAGCTTGTTGTGCGTAGCGGAAATTTTGGCAGCACCTCCGGTGCGCAAGGTGCACAACAAGAGATTAGATCGTAAGAATTCCTGTCTCACCAAGGAAACAAGAATCTGAAGCGGATATCTTAACAAAGTGAGATATCAGCTCTTCCTCTCATCAGTTCTAAGACTGACCTGTCGAGGGATCCTATAAGCTATTACAAATCACGGCAAAAAACACAACTTTTACGTGGTTCGGTAAATAGCCTACGTCCACGGGACAAGGAGGGGGGAGATCTACTATTAGAGGGAGAGATACAATTGGGGTTTACAATCACTCACAATCTAAACCCTCAAACAAACTCTCAAATCCCTCATAATATCTCTCTACAAAAGGATGCACAAAACCCTAAAAGGGACTGCTCAAAATCTCCTCAACACTTCTGCGTTTTTCTCCCGCAACCAAAAACAAAATCAGCTCTGCCGAAGAAACAGCCGCACAAACCAAGACTCCTCGCACACCCTTGCTCTCTGCAGCAACAAATCTTTGTACAGCCCGCAACCCTAGGCACAGCCGTAAGAATCCTTTTCCCAGCCCTTGCACAAAACCCTAGGCTAATCAATAGGGTTTATATATAGTTGAGTTTCTATCAGGTCATGCGGTTTGTGGGCTCACGCGGAAATAGATCACATCAAAACCCGTGTCCTGCTGATTCTCTCACACAAACAGATTTGTGGTCCCCACTTGCTCTACACGAGATAGCCTTGCGCTCTCTTTTGTCCGCTGGCTTTTGCTTTGCTCTTCACACATGTGGTGCCCGTGGCCCCACATCACAATTCTCCACCTCGGCGAAGTTTCTCAAAATTAAGCCGACACCAAAGCATCCAAATGTTCCAACTTGTTGTGTCCAGTACGAACTCAATCCACAACAAGTCGAGGACCCGAACGAGAGTCCAAATAATCTCACCCTCATCAACTAATCCAAACCGGCTGCATCTGAAAGACTGCCTACGTATCCTCTTGCCCAAGGAATCAAGCCGAACGTAGTTTACTCAAATGGCCTCCAAAGGCCTCAATTCACTAGAAGAGTTCACAACCCTTCTCCAACATCACGATCAAGTCTACGGCTGATAGCACCTCCAATGGCCCCAAATTGAAATAATCCAAACATCTCCACCTGAGATGAACCAATGGCCATATCCAGACTACATCTATCAACTGTACTCGAATCAATCAACCTACCATCTGCATCCAAATCAATACGATTCCTAATCTGTGTCACATCAGCTGGAATCCCAAATAATGCAGTATGATTTGGAGTTTCCACCCAACGTGGAGTAGCATCACTCTCCACTCGCTGCGATGTCCCAAAAATCTGATCACCACTCTTCACCTGCCGAGAGTCAAACGTGACATATCTGCTCAGAACAAAGTCAGAAGCCAATACCTGATAATCAAACACGCCTCTGACTCCCAAATGTTCTATCGGATCAAATCTCACATCCACGATGTGACCAAGTGTTGGATAGCCAAATATCCGACGCAACCCAAAATCTGAAGCTGCTCCACCAGATCCAAAATCTCTACATGCAGCAGTCGGCAACCTATACATAAGATGGCCCAAACATGTCGTAGCCCGCACATCAATGCCAATGCTCGACATCAAACGCCGATCCTCCTCCAGAAAGGAACAGCTCTTCAAATCTGCCATCTCATCACGTCGCCTTAAAGTTTCCACACCAATGAAGTGTCTCCAATTGCCGTGAGCTCGGCACAAATGCAGAAATAGGTCCCTCTTGTACGTCCCTCTAACATCAGACTGAAGTATCTTCACCTTTCTGCCAATACACTTCCTCCATTTGTTGCGGGCTTCTAGGACTTCACACCAACGGGATTTGGTTGCAACCCACCAATGCCTAGAGCAATCCCCAACTGCGGAAACCACATAACTATTACCTACCAATAATGCTCCCTTGGAAGGCTCCCGAATGCCTGAATGAACACCCCTCAGAAGACCCCTCGAATGATGAATAGAAGTGCTAAACTCCACCTCGGTCTTCTCGCTCATACCAATAGGTTCACAGGACTTCAAACTGCAGGTCATAGCACTCCTCAACAACCTATGTACGGCATTACCAATCAAATAACCCAGCATCAAACAACACCACAGTCTAGCCGAATCTGATGAAGTCGTCATCTCCCTATCAATCACTGTGCTTCCAAGCAAATAATATAAATTGTTCCTTCTGACGTCCTTCATCACAATCATGGACCCCAATGTGACCTTCAAACATGCATCCACCAAGGTCACTTTATAGCCAGATGCCACCAAAGCTCCTAGTGAAATGGTGTTCTTCGATAACTGTGGAACAAACCTCACTTCATCCAACTCCTGAATCACTCCGTCATACATCCGAATACGAACGGTACCAATACCATCAATAGAGCATGCATGTTCATTACCCATGAGCACAACATCATCTCTTTCCAACTTCTGAAAGCTGGAGAACCAATCCCTCCTAGGGCAAACGTGGTATGAAGCACCCGAATCCAACATCCACTCTGTAGAATTGGCAACACAAACTGACGGTAGTGCAGACAACGAATAGCCTAAAGAATCCGAATCTGAATTGTTACCACTAGTCTTGACAACATTCACCTCTGAAGCTTGTACAGCTTTCCCCTTATTCTTCTCGGCTCGATCTAACTTTGGGCATTTGGCTTTCCAATGTCCATCCTCTTTACAAAAGGCACACTGATTCCTACGAATCCCACGATGTGCACCTCTAGACCGCGACCTTCTGCTTCGGTTTGAACAACGGCCTTGAACTACTAATGCATCTCCCGATGCCTTCTCGGAGGACTCATCAACACTCTTCCTCAACTCATAATTCACCTACGCTGAGGTCACCTCCTTGTAACTAACAGTAGTTCTTCCATTAATCATAGTTAGGACAAAAGTACCATAATCATCATCGGACAACGAACACAAAAGTAGCATCGCCTTGTCTTCATCCTTAACCATGATATCCATATTAGCCATGTCTGAAAGTAGCTTTGTGAAGTTATTAACATGCTCCCTAATGGAAACTCTCCTCTTCATCTTGAACTGGTAAAACCTTTTCTTTAAGTGAAACCGATTCTCAATGCTCTTAGTAAGATACTTTTCATTGAGTGTTTCCCACATCTTCTTCGCCGACGTCTCGTTCATCACGTCATAAATAAGATCCGGCGTCAAACATGACCGAATAACTCCACACGCCCTACTATTCATCTTCTTCCAAACCTTAGCTTCCATCTCGGCAGGTTTCTCTTGTAACTCAAGAGTCTCCTCCAAATTCTGAGCGTCTAAGGCGTCCATCACCTGACACCTCCACAATCCGAAATTAATCTTGTCGTCGAACTTCGGAACATCAATCTTCATGTTATTGATGCTCAAATTATGTATCGTCTAAGGAACCACCGGAGATCTCAAGTCCGGCCTCTTACAAGTTCTTCGTGTGCAGAACATAACCTTTTCCTGAAGAACTAGTCATTTGATGAAACTTGAGGACCCAAATGTTGTGCGCAGCGGAAATTTCGGCAGCACCTCCGGTGCGCAAGGTGCACAACAAGAGATTAGATCGTAAGAATTTCTGTCTCACCAAGGAAACAAGAATCTAAAGCGGATATCTCAACAAAGTGAGATATCGGCTCTTCCTCTCATCAGTTCTAGGACTGACCTGTCGAGGGATCCTACAAGCTATTACAAATCACGGCAAAAAACACAACTTTTACGTGGTTCGGCAAATAGCTTACGTCCACGGGACAAGGAGGGGGGAGATCTACTATTAGAGGGAGAGATACAATTGGGGTTTACAATCACTCACAATCTAAACCCTCAAACAAACTCTCAAATCCCTCATAATATCTCTCTACAAAAGGATGCACAAAACCCTAAAAGGGACTGCTCAAAATCTCCTCAACACTTCTGCGTTTTTCTCCCGCAACCAAAAACAAAATCAGCTCTGCCGAAGAAACAGCCGCACAAACCAAGACTCCTCGCACACCCTTGCTCTCTGCAGCAACAAATCTTTGTACAGCCCGCAACCCTAGGCACAGCCGCAAGAATCCTTTTCCCAGCCCTTGCACAAAACCCTAGGCTAATCAATAGGGTTTATATATAGCTGAGTTTCTATCAGGTCATGCGGTTTGTGGGCTCATGCGGAAATAAATCACATCAAAACCCGTGTCCTGCTGATTCTCTCACACAAACAGATTTGTGGTCCCCACTTGCTCTACACGAGATAGCCTTGCGCTCTCTTTTGTCCGCTGGCTTTTGCTTTGCTCTTCACACATGTGGTGCTCGTGGCCCCCACATCACATAGCTGGCTTTAAAGCCCTTAGGAGCCACATATATAGTCTACATTATTTTACGGTGTTACTAGGGTGTGTCAATTATCATGTCACAACAAGAACATCGCCTTTGTAAGCTGGGATGATTGTGACATCCCTATATTTAGTCTCAGATCAGGAGTTCACAAAAGAATTAGAATGTTTAAGTAGATAAGCATGAGGTTCAAGTGTAGCATCGACTATTCGATTTTGACGTTGGTTTAAGCTAAACAATTCGCTACACTCTTGAGTCTCATGGTTTACAACACACCAACGGGCTCTTGGGCCTAGAGCGTGGCACCAACTTTGTCTAGATTATTATTTTTCATGAATTAAAATGTGTCAATTTTGTAATAACTAATTATCAGTTGTCTTTTTGCATTGTGGACTAGCTTGTATCTTTGGTTCAAAGTAAATTTTGCCCTATTTTTTATTACTTTTATTAATTCAAGGCAAAACTGGGTATTGCTCATTAAAAAGGCTACTAAATGATAACCAGTTGCATACTACTTAAAATATTGCACAAGAAAGAGCTTACGTATATCTTCATGTCTGATGAAGTTTCCATTAAGATCCATTTAGCGAACTTCACTAGATCAGGCTTCTTTTGTTAATCCAATTCGAAATAGGGATATCTTTTATGCTTCGAATATCACATATTTTAACATCTTTTGTTCAATCTCCTCTGCATGACGTTGTGAATGTACGCATTCAACTATCTAAATTTCACTTTTCGCTAGTAAGATATCAATGAAGGACAAATTTTCAAAACCGACCCCTTTGGGTTTTTAATTGCAAAAAACGACCCATTTCAATCTTATTTATAAAAACCGACTCAGTTGGTTGAAACTGGGTTGGTTTTTGAAATTTTTTTTCCCAAACTTCACGGGAGTTCAACTCCCGTGAAGTTTTGTTATGAGAAAAACTTCACGGGAGTTTAACTCCCGTGAAGTTTCCCAAAAAAAATTAAAAAAACCGACCTGTTTTCAGCCCCTGGCTGAAAACAGGTCGGTTTTTATAAATATTTTCAAAACCGGTCGTTTTTTGCAATTAAAAACCCAAAGGGGTCGGTTTTGAAAATTTGTCCTATCAATGAAATATAGCATATGCTGCAAACCAAATTGTACCTTCCGATCTCCATGATGGCTAGCTCTTTTTATCGCTTACTACATGAGCACTATTTTTACATTCTTGAAAGCACATTAATCACGGTCCGCGCACTTTGGACAAACATCCTAAAAGGTGAATTATGAGAAACCCCCTCTATCTTTATGCTATATTCAAAAGAACCCTTATCTAAAAATTTCAACAAATGCAAATTAAAAAAAAAACTTTATCGAGAAACTAGCGTTCCTTTCAACTTCGAAATTCTGTTTTGACTTTGAAGTGCAAACGTTTATCTACGGAGCATCTACCCAAGAGCGATGTCTGCTGAAACGTCTGAATAACAAAACTCTATTGTTAAAGAGCTATCTCTGCCAATTGAGACAATGTGCATTATTGCCAATAAAAACTCTAAGAAATAATTCATCTCTAGTTGGCTTTGTATAACTTTTATAATAATCTGTTATTTGTTTCTGTTGACAGTTTTGAGTGAGATGTTTGCACACTACCTGGAGTCATGGAACAGATGGTATGCTGAGATAGCTCAAGTAACCTATCGCGGATAAAGCTCTGGCGTATAATTGAAGAAGAAATATTCATCGTGCACTATAAAAAAAATATTTTTTTTTTCATGTTCATAAAATTTGTACTTCACCGTTCGCAGTCTCACTCGACGTCGAAGTCTATGATTTTGTCACCGTATCAAGAATTTGTTATCTGTTGGGGTTACCGAAGGGCCGGATCCAAGAGAGATGGAGACTAACTTGGAGGAATCTTGTCATTGACGCATTTGGGAGACGATTATACTGAGTTCATGATGTCGAAGATCAGGGGATTGGGGTTCGTTGATCCTGAATTTGGTTCAGAGGCTGTGAAGTGATAAAGTACGGGGAGTTTTAATGGAGTGGTGCAGGAGCTAATTTGGTATATTTGGTCCTTGAGGAGTTCTTTATGGTGGAGAATGTGAGGAAGTCAATATCAATTGATGAGCAGCAATTAGAAAACCGGACAAAATCACTAGTGGTTGGTGTGATTGTATGGGTTTGATCTTTCATATATATACATCAATGTCATCACATTTTAGTTAAATATAATATACTGGAGAAAATATGAAATATTTTAACTACTCCCGATGATGAATCTAGTATCATATGTGCCAGGCTTGTAACTCAGCTTCTAATAGAAGGATGGGGATAGAAGACTCAAACAGAGCTATTAAATAAGGATGGAGAGATTTGTTTCAAAAATTGATTGATTGTAAAAACTTGTGTGCATGGTTATATTGTGTTACTAATTTTAGTTGTATTAACAGTAGATATGGGTGACAAACAATGCAACAAGCTTGACTTTTATTATTCTTATTATATTTACAATATTTTTGCCATCAATTTGATACGTTCATTGTTGATACCACAAATATTTAACAGGTTCAACTGGAAAGTTAACATGTTCAGCTGAAAGTTAACAAGCATCGTCATAAGTTAACATGTTCAGCCGAAAGTTAACAGGAAATGCAAAAAGTTAACATGCTCAGCCGAAAATTAACAGGCAACGCCAAAAGTTAACACGTTCGATTGAAAGTTAACAAGAGACTTAAATAGTTAACAATAAATGTAAATAGTTTACATATAAAATCATTGTACTTCAATACGATTAGTGTTACATTCTTATAGCTGATATTGATTGAATGCATAGTTTAAATAGAATTATTATTCCTAGCTAAAGTATTTTTTCATAGAATAGTATTGCAAAGCTAGTCTCAATTTTTTTACACTTTCAAATTGTTGACCATTTTCAAATTAGTATTGAAAATTATTAGTAAATGATAAAAGTGTTGTTGAGAATATCATCTGATCTCACTACATTAGTTACATTGTTAACTTTCAGATGATGGAAGTTAACAACGTAAATAATGGTGATACATAGCATTAATTGAAAGAAGGTTAACAATTTGAAAGTGCAAAAGAATCGAGACTAGCTTTGCAATACTATTTTATGGTGAAAAATACTTCAACTAGAAATAATAATACTATTCAAATTTTGTATTCAAGCAATATCAGCTGTAAGAATGTAAAACTAATCGTTTTGAAGTACAATGATTTTATATGTAAGCTATTTATGTTTATTGTTAACTAATTTAAGTATGTTGTTAGCTTTTGACATTTCTTGTTAACTTTTGGTTAAACATGTTAACTTTTGACGTTTCTTGTTAACTTTTGGTTAAACATGTTAACTTTTGGTGTTGCTTGTTAACTTTCAAATGATGGGATTTTTTTCTTCACAATTGTTCCTGGTAATGGTTAACTATTTAAGTCTGCTGTTAACTTTTGGTGTTTCCTGCTAATTTTCGACTGAACATGTCAACTTTTGGCGTTCCTTGTTAACTTTCAGATGATGGAATTTTTTTTCTCGATAATTGTTCCTGGCAATGGTGAGAATGTAGTAAGATCAGAAGATATTCTCAATAACACTTCCATCATTCCTCAATGATGGAACACATCATTAACTTAAACGGGTCAACAATTTGAAAGTGTAAAAGAATTGAGACTAACTTTGCAATACTATTCTATGGCAAAAAAATACTTCAACTGGAAATAACAATACTATTCAAATTGTGTATTCAAGCAATATCAGCTGTAAGAATGTAAGACTAATCGTATTGAAGTACAATAATTTTATATGTAAGCTATTTACATTTACTATTACTTATTTAAATCTCTTGATAACTTTCATCTGAACGTGTTAACTTTTGGCGTTGCTTGTTAATTTTCAGCTGAACATGTTAGTTTTTTCGTTTCCTATTAACTTCCGCCTGAACATGTTAACTTTTGGCATTACTTGTTAACTTTCAGATGATAGAATTCTTTCTTGACAATTGTTCCTGACAATGGTGAGAATGTAGTGAGATCAAAAGATATTATCAAGAACACTTTCATAATTCCTCAATGATAGAACACATCATTAACTGAAAAGGGTCAACAATTTGAAATGATAAAAGAATTGAGACTAGCTTTACAATACTATTCTACGACGAAAAATACTTCAGCTAGGAATAATAATACTATTCAAATTATGTATTCAAGCAATATCAGCTATAAGAATGTAAGACTAATTGTATTGCAGTACAATGATTTTATATGTAAGCTATTTACATTTACTGTCAACTATTTAAGTCTCTTGTCAACTTTCATCTGAAAGTGTTAACTTTTGGCATTGCCTGTTAATTTTTGGCTGAACACGTTAACTTTTTGTATTTCCTGTTAACTTTCAGCTGAACATGTTAACTTTTATGATGTTTGTTAACTTTTGGTTGAACATGTTAACTTTCCAGCTGAATCTGTTAAGTATTTATGCTATCAACAATGAACATATCAAATTGATGGCAGAAGTACTGTAAATACAATAAGAATAATAAAAGTTAAGCTTGTTGCATTGTTTGCCATCTGAAGAATTGGCAAACAGCTAAAAAAACAACCCAGAAATTTAGCCATGCAGACTGGCGGTCGACTGCGATTCAGCGGCGGTTGACCGCGAACGTGCACAAGGGTCAGGAAGAGCTGGGAGCTGAAGACGGTCGACCGTCACGGTCGACCGCGTGGACCCTGTAGGATTTTTGGGCTCTGTCGTTTGGTTCGGTCGACCGTCACGGTCGACTGTGAGTTTCCTATAGCCGATTTGTTCTCTGTCGAGAGTGTTCGGTCGATCGTCGCGGTCGGACGCGATACATGCGTGGTCAACCGTAGGCTATTTGGGTTGGACTTTGGGTTTTCAACCCGGTTCGTTTTGGAGCTAATATATAACTCTAATCCTGATTAGTTAGGGTTAAGCAAGGACGATTTTGAGCAGTCTTTTGGAGAGAATTACTGTATTCAATTGTGAGAGATTTGTGAGAGATCTAGAGCTTTATTTTAGGGTTTGATCGGTGAGATTTATAACTCTATTTGTATTCTCTTGATTTCTAATAGTAAGAACTCCCCCCTCCTTGCCCCGTGGACGTAGGCAACTTACCGAACCATGTAAATAGTTTGTTCTTGCTGTGTTTGTGATTTGCTTAGTGGTTGTGATTTATCTCAAGTTATTGTTCGTGTCACTTCGAGAACTTCCGTCGCGCACAATAATTGGTATCAGAGATTCAGGCTTGTTCGAATGATTCGGTGAAGATTCCTATCTGAAGAGTTAGATCGACAACATGAGAGAAGCAAGCACATCAGGTTCATCTCTTACGAAGGCGATACAGAGTCTGAGCATTAATAACACGGAGATTGATGTTCCGAAGTTCGATGACAAGATCAATTTCGGATTATGGAGGTGTCAGGTGATGGATGCCTTGGATGCACAGAATTTGAAGGACTCTTGAGTTAAAAGAGAAACCCGCTGATATGGAGGATAAGGTTTGGAGGAAGACGAACAGTAGAGCTTGTGGTGTTATTAGGTCATGCTTGACGCTGGATCTTATTTATGATGTTATGAACGAGACGTCGGTGAAGAAGATGTGGGAAACACTTAATGAGAAGTACCTTACAAAGAGCATTGAGAATCAGCTTGACTTGAAGAAGAGGTTTGTAGGTGTAAATTTTGATCTCCCGAAAACAGGGAGCTTCGTTTGTATTGATAAGAAGGCTTATTACAAACTAATAAATCAAATGTTTACAACAGAAGCGGAGGGAAGGCCCTCCTTGTTTAACGTGGGTTCCTCGGTGGCGATAGGTCGTCTCGCTCGGTGCTCGTGCCGAGTCTGCTTCCCTTGGACGATCCGATCGAAGTTGCTGCCGGAGCTTCGGTTCTCAAATGAGGGAGCCTTTGGCAAAGGTCCAGGTTAAACCTTTGGGAGATTAGCCCGCAGAATATGCAACAGGGAGATTAGCCAGCAGAATATGCAACGGCCAATCCCCCTTCTTCATGCTGCTGAAGATGGGTTTTAACAGGCAAGGGATGGCATGGGCTATCCCTTGATTCATGGGATTTGACCACTAATAGAGGTGAGGGAGATAGCTTGACTGCTCCTTGAATTATGGGATGTGACCACACGTTGTTCGGAGACGTCCTGCTGTTCATTCGTACCGTCAATGGTCATTCGAAGAGCTGTGCTCTGCATCACGCTACATAGGAGTGGGAAAGCCCCTCCTCGTATGCGTGACAACGGCTGTCAGATGCTTGCGTGGATCTGACCAACCACCGAGCGTTGGCGGCTCTCGTCCCTTCACCTGGACAACTGAGGTGAGCCGCATTTATGAGGGTGCAGGCTGTTTCGGCGCCTGTCCGCTCATTCGTACTGTGGACGGCCATCTGACGGGCCTGGAGTATTGTGCCCTCTCCCTTGATTTGTGGGATTTGACCACTGATGTAACTGTTCCCATACTCCAAGTGGGCAGTTGACAGTGAGCTGGCGAGTCTGCAGCTTGGGTCTGCAGGCGAGCTTGCAGGCGAACTGGGTCTGCAGGTGAGTTTGGGACTGCAGGCGGACTTGGGTCTGCAGGCGAGCTAGCAGGCGAACTGGGTTTGCAGGCGAGCTCAGGTGCGCAGGCAGACTTGGGTCTGCAGGCGGATTTGGGACTGCAGGCGAATTTGAGTTGCAGGCGAGCTCCTGAGCATGGATTGAAGAATAGGCCGTAACTTTCAAACCGTAAGTCGGAATTGGACGAATTATATATGAAAATCGCCTATCTCGACGAGATGGAGCCATCCGAACCGAGCCGAAGGCTTCGGTTCGCTTCCTCCGTTTTGCCAAATTCCTTACGGTTTGGGAGATATCTGCGTTTTCCCCTTTTTCGCTATTTCGGGTGAGGTTTTAGCAGTTTTGTTCTGAACTTCTCTGATAAGGATTTAAAGGCAATTTTTATTGCCTACAAAACCCCCTCCAAAGTTTTCAGACCTGAATCAGGCCGCATGGGGTCTGGAACACTTTGGATATGAAGTCCCGTAAAGTGATCCCTGCTCTTCACTCGCAGCTGATGATCGCCTTCTAGGATTTTGAGCAAACCCTCAGCTATCAACGGACTTGATTTGTCTTTACCAACTGCCGTTTGAGTTGGACTAGCCATGCTCTTGCCCTTAGCATGGTAAGTTGTCGAGGAGTTTCTCTTAGGCTCAATGCTAAAATTTCTCCTCTATCCTTAGCCTTTCGAGGCATTTGGATTAAGAGTGTAGGGAGCAGTTTAGACTCATGCACCAGTTGGAGTATAAGGGGGCAGTTTAGACTCATGCACCAGTCGGAGTATAAGGGAACAGTTTAGCCTCATGCACCGGTTGGAGGATAAGGGGGAAACTTGTCTTCTCTTAGGGCAAAGATGAAGACGAAC